GGGGGAACATGCCATGGTCTTTGGCCACTTTGACCAAGCAGGGCCACGCGGATGACCGCGGCGAGCAGACTCCCGCCGAAGGTGCACTGCACCTTTGCAGTTCTCTACTAGGAACTTGCTTTTTCTGGATAGAAACGGTAGTGACAGTTCGCTCGGCGAAGAGCATTCGCGGATTACCCGCAGTGCGTTATGCTGACAGTAGTGCGTTGATACGCCGCAAGCATGATGCGACACCAGGATGCTATTACTACGAATATGAGGGCGCAGCCTTTAATGTCCACGACGCCACCGGGCCCGCGCACGCGCGTATCATCCAATGCCTCAAGTCTTCGGAACCACTGGTAGGCTCTGACGACGACCTATCTCAGTTTGAGGAGCTGACGGGCTCGCCATCATCGGCCGGCCGCGTTCAGGAGGAAGGGCGGTCCTTAGCTCCGGCCGCAAGCGATGGGCGACTTCCGGCCATCAACGAATAATCATAAATCATGGTATCTTGAAATTCAGGAAGGATAAGGGACTCATGGAAGCAATTCCATTGGAACCCTTTATACGCGGTGCGCACGAGATGCTTACCGAAAACCACGCGCTTGCTACTGCGACCAGCGAGAAGCGAGGACACTCTCATGGAGCCGGCTAGTGCCAGGACGGCGCAGAGGAGAAATATCTCGTCCTCTGCACCGCCGATGCGACAAGACCTTCGGTCTGGATTCGGACGAGCACGGTCAATATGTCGAACAGTGCTTCACTGCTGACACGTCTAAAGTTGTCTAGTATTCCACGACGGCCAGATAACCATTGTGCGCATATGCGTGTCAGCCGCTTCTAAAAGAGCCGTTGCTGTCAAAGACGTCGACCTCCTCGCGGGGGCCGACATGCAGGCAAACTCGGCCAGTGTACGTAGCACCCCGCAGATGCGGATGAGAGTGAGGGGGCGGCGGGGGCGCTGGCAGTTTGCGAGACTCTGGAGAAGCCCGCCGCAGGAAGTTTCACAAATTATGCGACGAGCCTACCGCTAGCGCAGATTTTTTCGTTAAACCAATGTGGGTAGGTCGCGGGTGGGGCGCGGGTGGGTCGCACATGGGTCGCGGATGGGTCGCGGGCGGGTCGCAGGTGGGTCGCGGGCGGGTCGCGGGTGGGTCGCGGGTGTAGAGGGCAGAAAATCCACCCGTAATAATCACCCCGACAAGCGAAGCCGTTTAGTAAACGCACGCAAGGAATGAATCGAACAAGGCAGGGCTGCCTAGTAAACGCCCAGGGCCGCTTAGTAAACGTCAATTGTCGGGTCCGAGTGGTTTTCCCTCCCTTGAGGGTGGGTCGCGGGGCGGGTCGCGGGCGGGTCGCGGGGCGGGTCGCGGGTGGGTCGCGGGTGGGTCGCGGATGGGTCGCGGGTGGGTCGCGGGCGGGTCGCGGGGTGGGTCGCGGGTGGGTAGAGGGTGGGTCGCGGATGGGTCGCGGGTGGGTCGTGGGCGGGTCGCGCGGTGGGTCTCGGGCGGGTCGCGGGTGGGTCGCGGGGTGGGTCGCGGGTGGGTCGCGGGGTCGGGTCGCGGGGTCGGGTCGCGGGGTGGGTCGCGGGTGGGTCGCGGGGTGGGTCGCGGGGTGCGTCGCGGGGCGGGTCGCTGGGCGGGTCGCGGGTGGGCCGCGGGGTGGGCGACGACAGCAAACAACAACAACAACAACAACCACACCAACACCTACAACTACAACAACAACAACAACAACAACGCAACAACCATAATCCTCACTGCGAATCTCTTTTTCAGCCACGCACTCAGGGTCAATGAATGACCGTTTGCCCCCTCGCTCTGATCAAAGTCAGTGCGCGCTGCGTGGGCATGAATTGATTTAAGATGCAGGGTATCAGAATCGCGACGGATATCAAGACATCGTGATATGCGTGCACATGAACATTGGCGAACAACGAAATGGCGAGGTGGACCGCATCATCAGGGTACGCCTTGTACGTCGCTGTTTCATGTATATCGGAACTTTCGACGTGGAGACATTTTCAGGCGCGGCCAGACAACGCAGACTGAGACCGCGCTCAAGCGCGGCCGCGCGCAACAAGTCATGGATATAGCGCCCGTAGACATTGGTGGGGCTTTCTGGAAGGGTCAGACGCATCGCGAACTGGCTGAAGCCGCGGGGGAGAAAGACGCGCGGTATGCATCGCATCCCACCTGGCTCTGCATCAGTGCTGGGTGCGTTTCCGGGCTTTGCGTTCAGCGACGAATCGAGGCGCTGCATTTGCGCCTGAAGCGGGGCTCTGGCACTCAGGGCGCCCCCGGGGCGTTCTCGCTGAAACTCTGAATCGCCCCGAGAGGTTCTGGGCTGAAAACCAACTTCTCACGAGGAGGAATTCGAGACATGCCCAAATCTCCTTGCAGCCGAGCACGTTGACGACATAAGTATGGCAGGAGTCGAAAGCAGGGCTGGCATGCGCGTCAAAGGTGTAGAAAGTGCGTTCGGCGCACGTAAACGTTGCGGGCGCAGCTTTACGCCGCGCACCGCGCGTGCCGCCGAGACCGAGGGCGGCCGCGTTCAGCTCGACCAGGATGAATAGGTGAGACAGCTTCGCCCCTCGCAGCACCCAGCATTCACTGGGGCCAAAGCAGGAGAAACGGCGACGGAACTTGCGTCAGGTAGGTTTTTAGCATGTGCTTTGATCGCTCAAGTGTGGCTGATGGTATCGATGGTCCCTCTACAACGCGTCCGAGAACCGACCGGCGCGCGGGTGCGACGACTCAACGCCGCAACGCGTAGCCTTCAACAGTGTCAAAATAAACAAATTTACCGCGCGAGGACTCCGACGGCAGAAGTGGACCTGCATAGTGATTCAGGATATCGGCGCCTTAACGGCGAAGCCGATGACGAATTCAATCGGCATGGCGTCCGACGGGCCGACCTTGCTGCGCGGCCGCGCGCCAAACGGCAAGGCAGTAGTGCACCTGGTCGACGCATGCTGCAAGCCACGCCGACTGATGGGCGCTCCAGCTACTCTGTCGAAACCTTTGCAGCAGCCTATGGTAACCTGGAAGACTGTTACCCTACCTCGTGACGGTGCACGAGATTGAAGCTGTACTTCTCACGCATACGCAATTCAGTCACAGTTTAGAGATAGGTGGTCGAAGCATAAAGGCCAACTTCACCATCGACGCCGAGTCGGTTTTCAAGTCCTTATCCAGTCGAAACCAGATGCATGTACTCTGCTGGGGCCCATCAGCTGGATCCGACAGATGAGCGATCGAGGTGTCGTTGATCGCGCACAGTGGTGTGATGCACGAGGTATGACGGCATATGGTCATGCCAGTGGATGTGCCGGTCGTGAATTACGACTGCAAGTTATGGCAGGAATGAAGTCGGTTAAGTATGAGGTAAAGCAATACACACCCCACATAAACAAAACAACAGGGCAACAACATCCTAGCCCAGCCCACAGCAGTGCCAGCGGATACTGCGTTTATGCGAGCAGAATGCTTGCCCGCATCTGCCCGGCCACAGGCGACTACCCGGCCGCGGTCCATCGCCTGGTCACGGGCTATGCGTCAGTATTTGCGTGGTCGCGGGCCATGCGCCAGTATCGGCCCGGTCGCGGGTTTTTTCGTTGCTGCACGATTTGGTGTCTGAAGGTTGCTTCAGACACCCGCTTAACTTTGGGTGAACCCACGGCTTGTTTGGAGCTGCGGGCCAGACTATTTTACGCATGCTCTTGCTAGCCACGAGCGGAGGTCACGGGCGGCTAGCCGCAATGCATTTGCTGACCGCGTGCGGTGGTCTCCTGCGGTCAGCCGCGTATGCCTTTTTGCTACTTGTGCTATAGCGAGGGCTGTCTGAAAACAAATCGCCCTCCTTACTGCTTTACTGTACTGCTGCTGTTACGTCAGATATAAGTGCATTTTGGCTTGGTTTGTCGCTCGGTTCCTCCTTGGAGCGAAGGTCAAAGGACAAGGCGAGCATAGCGAACGCATTGCCTACGTCCGGCGCCGCATGGCTCAGGCGACGCCGTTGTATTTCACTACTTCGCGCCCGTGATGTATTATTGCACCTGCGTTACGGAAACAGGAAACGTCCACATCCTTCGATGGTGCGCCCTCTCATCTTGCCTTGTCTCGTATCTACCGACCTATTCTTCAGTATGGGATTAGCTATGGGGTACCATGATACGTCTACGACGTTATCATAAAATGCATGGTCTCCGTTTACACCCTCCTAACCTTCGCTTTTCTTTTCCTGGGCTGTCTTGGAGCGACACTTGGCTGCTTCATGGCCCTCTTGGATCAAGCCGCGGCACAAGCAAGGTCGACACTTTTCGGGAGCCAGTAAAATCAGAAGGGGGCAATTTTCCCCCGGGTGGGGGTCACAACCCTTGAGCCCCCCCCACCATCCCTTTCCCGGCCCCTTCTCGCGGGGGAGGGATCCAAGACAAAACGCTTCCCTTCGACTTGATTACAACGTTGTTTGATTTCCTTCAGGCTGGAACGCTTGAAGCGTAGGGTTCAGGGATAGGGGGGAAGCGGCGACGCCGGCGACGACGCCGACGACCACTCAAACGGAAAAGCGTCACATGGGAAGCGGCGACGACGACATTTCGAGCGGAAGCGCCCTTCACAGATGCCGGCAAGGTCGGCAGATTTGTGCCTATTGGAGCCCTATCGGCGGTCCTCTGGGAGCACTCTTGGGCCGTCTTGGGTGCCTCGGGGGCCGTCTTGAAATTATGTCCGACGGCCGCGGAGCTACCTGGGGCCACTTCGAGTTCTCTTAGATTGTCGTGGTGCTCTGTTTGGGCACTCTTGGGCTTTTTTTTGTGGTTCTCAGGAACTGCTTTTGAGCCACAAAGGAAGCCTGGGGAGGGCCAGACGCCAGCCTAGTGAGTCCACCTGGGCGTCGGCCGGGGGTCATTCGGTCATTCGGGCACTGTCGGGGGCGAGGAGGGGGGGGCTAAACGCAGAGTGTTGGGTCCTTGGTGGGGGATTACAGGTGGGGAACATGTCACACGTCTGGAGACACGGCGGATTTGTTTCTCTGGCATGCGTCATCAAAGAAACCGTTTGGACCTGCGGTTTATCTTGCCGGCCTCGCAGCATTGACACTGAAGTCTGATAGGCAGTCGTACGTGCAGATCGGAGTAGACGATGATGGCGACATTTCGCTCGAGAGTCTAGTGCCCTACAGCCAGCGGTTCGAGAAGAACCCTGCGACGTTGCAGTTGAACTCCGAGGTCGATGGCGTCGAGCTGCACGGGGGACTCCTCTGCCTGTGGGCACTGAACGTGAGCCACGGATCCTTCGGCTTCGTCCGCGACGCGGCGCCAGTCATGGCGGAGATGGGGCACCTGAGGAGCAACAACTGGTGGTCATGCCTGGCGTGTAGGCGGCGAGCTGGGTTCACCGTGTCCCTCAGCGACGATATTCTGCAGTTCTTCCATTCGTTCCGGCAGCAGGAACCGATCGATTCTCATAGACAGCTGGCGAGATCCTCGAAGAGAAGTACTCTGGCTTTTGCCTCGCGTTTCTCGAACGGCGCGTCGTCGATGACGACGCGCCTCGGGACGACGGCCCGCGCGCAGCTCCTGCACAGCTTGAAGGCCAGCCTGACGCGCAGGGCAATGATATCGCGGTACTTGCGACTCTATGGGAGAACTAAGGATAATAATTGCGAGTGGGTGTCGGTCGCTTCAGTGTGTGATACCAGTTCGCGCTTCACCATTCCGTCCAGCCATCCTGTGGCTTTTCAGTTGCACAGCGTCGCAAAGGACGTCGACTTTTTACTCGACATGGGCGCGAGCGCCATCCTGGATCATATCCAGCGGTACATGACGCTCGAGGACCTTGCAGATCGCATCCAAGGCTTTCTGGTTGCATACCTGCGCAGGGTGAACGGATTTGGTGACAAGGACCTCGCCCACAGGGACCAGCTCGCGGCCTTCGAGTTGTACACGGCCGCAGCAGAAGGGCAGGGCTATCCAGCTGCCTGCGGCAAGACTCACCACCGTCCAGCATTCTGGTTGATGACTGTTCGTGGGGGGCATGGGAGGCCGTCACGTGTGACACCTCGTGTCTCCAGGCTTTGGAGAGCCGTGATGATGCTACTCTTGATGATAATGATGATGATTACTATGATTACTATGCTGACAAATGTGACGATGACGATGGTGGTGACGGTGACGATGGTGATGACGATTGTGAACATAATGATTATGATGACAATGACGATGACGCTGCTGATGATGACGATGATGCTGATACTGATTATGATGATGATGCTAATGCTCATGATTGAGATGATGCTATTGCTGATGATGCTGATGCTGGTGATGATGATGCTGATGCTGATGATGCTGCTGATGCTGATGGCGATGATGCCGATGATGGTGGTGCTGATGATGATGCTGATGACGATGATGATGATGCTGATGACGATGCTGATGATGATGATGATGATACTGATGATGGTAATGCTGATGATGATGCTGCTGATGCTGATGCTGATGAGGATGCTGGTGATGATGCTGATGATGGTGCTGATGGGGCTGATACTAGTAATGATGATGATGATGGTGATGATGGTGCTGATGATGTTACTGCTGCTGATGATGCTGATACTGATGATCATGATGATGGTGGTGATGATAATGTATACGATGATGCTGGTGACGATGCTTATGTTGCTGTTGCTTCTGCTGCTCATGATGCTGATGGTGATGACAATGGTGATGATGAGGATGATGATGATGTTGTTGATGATGATGACGATGACGATGCTGACGATGCTGCTGCTGCTGCTGATGACGATGATGATGCTGATGACGACTACGATGCATATGATGATGCTGATGTGACGAGGCGGAGGATGAGGACGACGAGGGGAGGAGGAGGAGGAGGAGGAGGAGGAGGAGGAGGAGAGGCGTCTGGCCCAGGCAGGGAGCCCGACCCTAGGCGTGCCTTCAGAGAGGCCGCGACCGACATATTCTTCACTACGGCCAAGGAAACTCCTTGGCATAGGCGCCAGCGCTTGAAGCGCACCAGCGCCCGCCTGATTCTTGCCCTTTCCAAAGCTCGATCCCTCCTTAGGAACCACCACAGTTCCCCAATCTTTGCGATGAATCGCCAAGGAGGCCCCCAGCAGACATGGGACTGCGCGTGTGGCAGGTTTGTCAAGGGCCACCATTGGAAGTGTCTATGTGGTCGTCATTGGAGTCAGCGAGTTGTCCCTCGAGGCCCTGATCAGGAACGGCCCCGCGCGTCCAGTCGGACGCGGCAGACCATCCGTCAGGAGAACCAACAGAAGGAGTTGAAGCGGGAAAAGCAAGAAGTGAAGCAGCTCATCGGCAGGGTAGTGACAATGAAAAGATCGGAAGCGACTGAGGCAATGCGTTTCTTGGGGTACGAGCAGGTCCCCACGGACGTGCCAGGAATCAAGTCGTACAAGACGAAGACGAAACAGCGCATGTTCGAGTTGGGAAGGCTCATCATCATCAGTCGCAAGGCCGGCAAAGATGATCCACAGGGTTTCGTCCGTGAGATATCGTGTCTCAAGTACATGATGAGCACGTGCGAGAAGCTGAATGACCAGCTTGCCGAGTTGAAGTCGAAGCGAGATAGGTGTCAAGAGCACATTCGCAACCTCTCGGTGAAGCTCGGAGAGTTACAGTCCGACTACAAGCAGTCAGAGACGGACCTGCATGCTTGGCAGGCCGCGATAGACGAGTTAGAGGAGCTGGAGGACTACATGGTCGGAGAAGATGCGCCAGGAGCCCGTGGCTTCAGCACATTCATCCCGACGATGCAGATGGGGGCGGATCCGCGCACGGAGAGGACGACATTTCCACCGCCGCCACCAGCCCCACAGCAGCAGTGTTCAGGAGGTCCCGTGCCCATGCAGCAGTGTAACATGGGATTTCCGCCATCCATGCCACCGCCGCCTCAGCAGAGAGTTGGGCTGCCAGTTCAGCAGCCACCAGTGCAGCAGCCACCGCCCCCGAGTGCTGAGGTGCAGGCGATCGGTGAGATGATCAAGGTACTCATTAAGAAGCAGCAGCAGACGGACCATCAGATGGCTGCGTTGATTGGCCACCTCACGGCAACCAGTGCGAGTGCTTCGGCGGAGGAGTACGAGAGGGCCAAGTCGGAGGAGGGGGCGCACGGCCATCAGCAGCCGCCCATCGAGGTGCAGGCCAGCCCGACGAGCATCCCCGCGGCCCAGCCCGACATGCCCACGCCTGTGGCGGACCCAGGCATCGAGCCCACGGAGGTCGCGGAGGATCCATACGGGACACAAGGGGCCAAAGCTGATTCTGAGATGATGCCAGGCCCTCAGGATACGCACTCCCCTTTTTTATCCCCTACCCAGCCCATGCATCCGACCCAGGGGATAGAGGACCCGCTCCTGGCGCCGCCCGTGGGCCCTTCGGTTTTTATGACCCCCCCAGGGGGGCAAGAGGAGCCCTACAGCGCATACGGGGGAATCGCCGCCGAGGAAAGATCCACGGCAGAGCGAAGAGTAACTTTCGGGGAGTGCATGATTAGAGCCTTTCACCCTGGGGAAAGGTTGACCTCCTCCTCTCAGAGTTCAAAGTTTCCGTATGTCCCTTCTTCTCCTAACCCCAGGGAATTAAAATCATGTTTGAAGGCCGATTGTGGATCGCAGGCTCTAGTTTCACAGGCCCCTAATACAACGCAGCGCGAAGTCAGCACAGATCCGTCAGTGGGGATCCATAGACGTAGATCTGATGGCCACATGGGAAGGAGTGGGGAGGATCACGGTCGGGGGGAGACGGCACGTGACCAGGCCAGCCTAGTCGATCCTGATATGGATTCGCAGTCCGATGCCCTTGAGCTCGGACCATTTTTGTCCACAGTGGAGATTGAGGACCAGCGCCCTTGTTACAGCGAGGAAGTGCAGGGTTCATCGCCACGAGAATCCTTGTCGGTCAATGGGGAAGGGGACATGGGTCATATGTCCCCTCCCCACTCTTTTGAAGCTAGTCCTGATCAATCAGGAAGTTCCGAGGAGCATGCGGGCAGCAGTGAGCCCACAACCTTGCTTCCTTCTCCTCCTACGCACTTAAGGTGTCACTTCGAGCGAGGACCGACCATCCAGGAACTTGTCACCTCTGTGGCGGCTATGTCTTGGGTACTCGGGCTTCCCCAGGATTTACCAGTGGAATCTTCTTGGGCTCTAGGGCTCTGTCCTCCGAGGGCCTCCGTCTGGGACGAGGTTTCATACTTTACCGATGGTTCGTTGCGACATGGGGATGACGCTTCTGGGGCCTGGGCCGCGGTCCGAATCGGCGCAGATCACGTGGGGTGCTCGTTCCAGGGTGTGTGGGCGGCCCCCTTCTTGAGTTCCTTTCTGACCCCGCGCGGACGGGGCGGGCTGGACAGCGCGGATGTTGAGTGCGCAGCCGTCGTCTGGGTTTTGATGGCGATCATCAGCGACCAGCACCACCCCCCAGCGGTCATTCACACGGACTCGCAGAACGTGTGCGACTATGTCTACGGTGCAGCTACGGTCTCGGAAAATAACAAAATTGCACGCATGCCCGTGATCATGTTTGACATAGCCTTGACTCGCGCCAAGGAGAGATGGCCTACACACGAACCTCCCCCGTTGAGGATTTGCCACGTCAAGGGGCGCGAGGGGCACCCATGGAACTCCCTAGCAGACCACCTTGCGGGTCTTGTTGGCTCAGAACAATGGGGGCCGTGTTTCGTTCCCCCACTGTGGGCCGAGGCCACTAAGCATGGGCCTGCTCGCGAATGGGAGTGGCTGGAGCGCCCGGCTCAGGGGTTGGCCCAGGCGTACCCCACTCCTTCGGTTCAAGGTTTTTGTGCGACCCCCGCGGCGTCTGAGGCTTCTGACGACCTGGGACATCGGCCCCCGCTCAAGTCCTCCAAAAGCTCCCACGCTTTGAGCATCAACGTGGCCTCCTTCAATGCCAAGAGCGCAGCTGTTGCCAAGAGAAGGGGCAGGAAGGGCAAGCTCCGCTTCGCTCGCAATTTGGCTATCAAAACCCAGTTTGACCAGGAGGGTGTTTTACTGGCTGGGGTCCAGGAGGCCAGGAACCCACAGGGCGTTTACTCCTCTGGCGCGTACTTTGTGCTTTCTTCGGGGCACGCGTCTCGCGAGATTGGGTGTGAGCTGTGGGCTAATACTAGGATTTCGTACGGCACTTGCAAGGGGAAGCCCCTGTTCCTTGAGAGAAGGCACTTTCGTGTCATTTCCGCCAGCCCCCGATGGCTTCTGGTAGCCTTGAGTGCTCCTGGGTTAGTATGCAATCTGCTGGTCGGGCACGCTCCTCACTCAGGCGCTGGGGCATCTGAGAGGGCTGCATTTTGGGACTCGATCCAGGGACTGCATGACAAGTGGGGCACCGATTTGTGTTTCCTGGATGCCAATGGCAGGGTGGGAAACCTGCCATCGGACGCCGTCGGGAGCGCCGGCTTCGTTCAGAAACAGGATGATGGGGGAGAGCATTTACACACCTTCCTGCTCGCCTCAGAGCATAGAGCTGTCAACGCATGGCTTGGCAGTCCAGACGACTGGACGTGGCAGTCGCCACAAGGGTTGAGGCATCGGATTGACTATGTCTCAGCGAAGACATGGCTTGCCAACCACGCCCTCACATCCGACGCGTTTCACGACATTGATAAGATTACGACACATGTTGACCACCAGCCAGTGATCGCTACGTTTGCATGGCAGGCAGTTCAGGTACGCCAAATATCGTCAGGAAAGAAGCTCGACCGAGAGGCTTATAAGGACCCTCTGAAGCTCGAGGTTTTCAAGCAAGAGCTTCGAGGGATCTCTGTAGTCCCCTGGCAGGTCCCTGTCTCAGAGCATCACGTGTGCTTGTCTACTGGGGTCGTGAGGGCAGCATCGAAGGCCTTTGGGGTTGCCCCTCGCCGACCTAGGCAGCCGTATGTCTCTCAGGCTTCGGTTGATCTTATCACCGCCCGTCGAGGGGCCACCAGAGCCTTGAAAAAAGTTGCCCCTTTTCTGGACCAACAAGGGCCTCTGTACGGTGACGCGCTTTCCCACTTTTGCGGCAGATGGTTATCGGGGGATATCCTGGGGCTTGCTATGCAAGAGGGAGCGCAATTCTGGAGGCCTCACTACGATCTTATGGCTCAGGTGTTCCGAGGATGGGCCTCTGGCAGGCTTAATTGCTACGCTATAGTGTTCGGGCTTCAGCGTTTTCTGATCGACACCGAGCAGCTCGTGGCCAAGGCATTGGAGCAAGACAGGTGCAATCACCTTGAGGCCCAGGCTGACACGATTGCCGAAGCAAGGGATTTCGGGCTTCCCCGATCGGAGTGGTCAAAGACCAAGGTGTTGATGCAGTTTGCAGGTCGCCCACCGAAGATCCCCACCACCTTCCCCTACTCGACCACTGAAGACGGCACGGCGCTGTGCACGGAATCCGACGTGGCCAACAACCTTCAGCAGCACTTTGCCAAAGTTGAGAGAGGCAAGTTCGAGGATGCTGAAGGGATACAAAGACACTATAATGATATGATCCCACTCCTTCCAGATGAGGCTCCTCGGGACCTGGAGCTATTTGTCTCGAAGGTTGGATTGCTAACGTTGATGAGGGGTATCCAAGGAGGGAGGGCCCCTGGTCCTGACGGCTTTCCCCCCGACCTACTCAAGCTTGCCCCCCTCGAACTGGTGGAAATTATCCACCCCCTCCTCACCAAGGTCACTATGACCACTAGGGAACCCCTGGCCTTCAAAGACGGGCGTGTTGGCACATTTTTCAAGGGGAAAGGCTTGATTGCCTTGGCCGCCAACCAGCGCAGCATTTTGATGACTAACACGATTAGTAAGATACATCACCGACACCTCAGGTGCCTTTCCCTGGACTATTTGCACGCTGCGCTGTTGGCCCAGCAATGTGGGGGGTTACCTGGTAGATCGTGCGACACTGCCGCGCATTTTGTTAAGGCCTTCTGGGCGGCCTCTGAAGCGCGGGGGTTTCATGTGGGTCCCTGTTTTGTGATCTTACGGCTGCATTCTACTCCACTATCCGGCAGCTGGTGTATGATTTACCAGGTGAGGGGGAGATGCTCAGTGAAGTCTTGGAAGAACTCCCAGTGCCTCCAATATTAGCTGCGGGCGTTCGTGCTCAGCTGCTCACAGGCCCCATCTTTGATCAGACTATTGAGAAGCCCCATCTAGTCGCCTTACTACGGGAGGCTCAAAGGGGGGCCTTCTGGGCTGTGGGAGGAGCTGATGGTTACGTCATTCCCCGCACAGGGTGCCGTCCTGGCACCGCGATGGCGACTGACGTGTTTAATATTGCTTTCGCTAGCGTTCAAGAGGAGATAGAAGCCGATATGGAAATGAGAGAGATTCGGTGGCTTCCCACCCCCTCTGTGCGAGTATTCTCCTCGGCAGTCGAACACGATGAAGTGTGCGCTTCAGTCTCTTTCGTTGACGACCTCACCCCCTCCGTGGCCTCCCCTGACCCAGCAGAACTCTTACAGATGTTAGGGGAACTCATCGATATTGTTTTTGCGGTTTGTGCTCGTCACGGGCTGTCCTTAAACCCCAACAAGACCAATATTATGTTGAGATTTCGGGGGCGTGGCTCACAGGCGGCCCATCGGGAGGTTTTCGATCAGGCGGAGCCCTACTTAGCCTCCCCCCAGTGGAAAGTAAAAGTCGCCGTCGTGCGTTCACACAAGTGCCTGGGGGTAGTTCTCGCTGACACTGGATCCGAAGGGCTGGAGATATCTGCGCGTTCTATGTCTGCCAGGGCCGCTGTCAGGCCCATCAAGGCCACCGTCGCTCCCCGCCCCTCCCTTCCTCTCCGTGCCAAAATCTTGTACACGGAAGCCTTCGGATCCAGCAGATGCTTTTATGCCTCATGTTTATGGCGCCCCATGCCACAGGCCGTTCAATCTAGAGTGCGGAGCTGCCACGAGTTCTTGCATCGCTGCGCGCTTGGACTTCCTGCCAGCAACTCACCCGAGCACCATCTGTCGTATTGGGATGTTTTGGCTCGTGCGGATCGACTTCCCTGGGATGCCGTTGTTCATGTTTCCAGGCTGCGTTTCTTAGTTCGGATGTTCAAGTTCGCGCCGCGATACTTGCTGACCCTTCTTGACGTTTCCCTCCTGCATCGTAGAAGCTGGGTCTCGGCTTTGGCCGCGAGTTTCGATTGGTTAGTTTCTTTCATGGATCCTGATTCGGTCCCTGGGACGGGGGGGCTCGACGAGTGGCTAGCTGCACTTCAGATGGACCCCCAGCGTTTTCGGGCCACAATCAAAACAGTCATCCGTAGAGCGAGAGAGTGGTGGAGTGACCGACACCTGCTCCACCTGTGGGACATCAGGGTCCACGAGGCGTTAGCAGGCACGCCCATGGACGTGGACGCTGTGGACGTGGTGACATCCTACATGTGCTACGAGTGCGGCCAGCTGTTCAAGTCAGAGCGCGCATTGCGCGCTCACAGGGGAAAGCAGCACCCCATCCCCACATCCCCAGCTATGATGGCCGTTGGCACCTGCTGCTCTATTTGTGGGTGGGACTACCGCTCTAATGGGAGGTTGTATAAACACCTAGCTAGGTCCAAAAGTTGCTTCCGAGGCCTTGTGGCCTGTGGTGTGCGTCCCACGCAGGATGAGGTTGATGAGGCTCGGGCTACCCGGCGTTGTGAGCAGCAGGCCAACAGGGCCAAGGGGTTGACGGATGATTTCGCCCATTTGCCCAGGGTTCGCATGATTGGACCAGTCAGAGGGGTCCGTGTCTTGGAGGTAGAACCCCTCGTGGTCGAGCCTGTGGCCCCCCCCCGCCTCCTCCTGTCCTTCCTGCCTTCTCTCCTGCTCCGCCCCCTTCGCGCCCTTTCCGCTTTCTTCTCCACCTCTTCTCGGGCCAACGGCGTGCTGACGACGTGCAGGATTGGATTGAGAGGCTTGTTGCTCAGTATCCCACCCCGGTTGTTGTGCTCTCTATTGATATAGCTAACAGTCCGAAGTATGGTGATTTAAGTGATGTTTCCACGGTTGCTTATTGGTTACGTCTTATGGAGCAGGGGTGGGTTGCTGGGGTTATTGCAGGCCCCCCCTGTGAGACTTGGAGTGCTGCTCGCCATAACCCTGTACCCCCCGAAGCCGTTGGGCCTCACCCTCGGCCACTGGGGGCGCCTAGTGAGCTCTGGGGGTTAAAGTACATCACTACCAAGGAACGAGAACAGGTCGGGGTGGGGAATGCCTTGTTAAGAACCACCATTGAATTTCTGATTTCCGCTTGGAAGCTTGGGCTACCAGCGATCATGGAGCACCCCGCCCCGCCTGAGCATCGACCTAATGTTCCCAGCAGTTGGCATCTCCCTATCCTTTCAAAGCTGGCCCGACAGATGGGGGTCAAACTACACAGGATTGACCAGTGCATGTTTGGGCTTTGTGCGAAGAAACCTACGGCCTTGATGGGTGTTCATATCCCCAGGCTCAATCAGATGATTAATGAGCTGCCGCACCAGGGGAGATGCCAACACAATGCGCACGTCCAGGTCCTTCAGGGCCGAGATTCATCTGGGGCTTGGCGGACTGCGCGGGCCAAAACCTATCCCTCGGAAATGTGCCGTTTGATGGCCATGAGCGTTTTCGTCGCTATCCAGGACCAGTTCGGGCCCGATCCTGGACCGCCGCCTTGGGACCTCGGGGAGGAGTTTGAGCCCTTCTTTGTGCCCCTGGATCCCTTCTATGATTTCAGGCGTGGTCGTGATTTCGCCCAAGTGACACCACCATCTCCCTCCTGACAAGCACATGGTGTGCGCGGCACCGCTAACTCTCGCAGTACCCTCGGGGAAGGTATGTGTTTGACTGTTTTTTGACGCCTGGGGTGTGCGCGGCACCTTAACTCGCTGTCCAGGTTTGTCACGTTTCGCTGGCGGTGTGCGCGGCACTCTAACTCGCAGTAGTCAGGTGAAGGTATCTTTTTCGATCCTCAGTGGGGGGATCAGTAACCTGATGAATGGCCAGCCCGTCCCTGACGACATGTTGGTGGCGCCCTCCCCCAGTGGCGTTACTCACTAAGCTGCCGTGCGCCTGGGATGTTCTACCTGCCCACGTCAGGATCGGGGCATTTAAAGTGGCCTTGATATGGTGGTGGGATCGAGCTTTGGACATATGGGGGGGGGACTTTAGTTTCACCCGAGAGGCCTGCCCGCTGCCGCGATCGCTGCCTCGCCGCTTTTCTCTCTGCCATCGCTGCTCTCTTCTAGCTTCGTTTGGGATTCAGACTCATTCCCTTATGGCCGACCGACCGAGGAGGAGGAGGAGGAGGAGGAGGAGGAGGAGGAGGAGGAGGGGGAGGAGGAGGAGGAGGAGGAGGAAGCGAAAGGCCGTCACACGTGACACCTCTCGTCTTTGCGATTTGATGAGTTCTCATGGGGCTCATTTGGGCCGTTGTGTGGCTGTCTTGGCCTCCTGTGAGGCAGTCTTTGGGGTCCCGTGGGGCCAGCTTGTGGCCCTCTACGGCCGTCTTGGGGCTCTCTTGGGCTGTCTTGGGGCCCTCTTGGCAGTACGGTATGTGCCAGGGGGCCGCCTTGGCGCCGTGATGGGCAGCGATTGCTTCTAAGGCCGTCTTGGGTCCCATGGGAGGCACTCTTGGGCCCTCTCTGGGCCGTCTTGGATGTCTCTTGGGCCTTTGTGGTGTCCTTGTTGGCCATATTTGGTCCCTCGCGGAGGCGTCTTGGGCCGTCTTTGGGCCATCTTGGAGGTTTTTCTGAACGTTGTGAGCTGACGGAAGCCCGAAAATGCGAGAATGCGAACTTCATTCAGAAACCAAGGGTCAATCAATGATTTTGGCTTCTTCGGTCCCTGTTGGAGGTCCTCATTGGGCCCTTTGGGGCCTCCTTGGAGGCATCTTGGGCTGTCTTGGGGCCATACTTCGCCGCCTTGGTGCCATCTTGGCCCACCTTCGGGGCATGTTGGGCCGTCGCGGTTGCTTTGGTCGCCTGCTTGGGCCGCCTTGGAAGCTCGGGACGTGGACACGCCGTTTTTCCCAGCCATCCTGTAGTGTTGGGTCCTCGTTTGAAGAGATGGTCCCCGCGTGCGCCCCCCCTCCCCCCCACGCAGTGCAGCGTTTCGTGGCCCCATAGGGAGCTCCACCGACGGCCCAGTGCTACCGCCCGCGTGCGCCCCCCCCCCTCCGCCCAGTGCAGCGCTTCGTGGCCCCATAGGGAGCTTCACCGAAGAAGATGTTCACAGTTGCGGTGCCCACAACTGCATGTGGTTGGGTCCTTCGTCAGGATGGCTTTTGTGGGAGGAACGGTTGCCTCTGGAGCGCGGACTCATAGGTTTGACGAGGGATTGTGGCCCTCGGGAGCAGGGGCGGTGCATGCACCTGTCCGCGGGTCGAGAGGGGGGGGGGGGGCCCTTATTAAAACACAAAGCCTTACAGAGCAGCACCTAGCATTCTAACACGCCCACATCGTGCAGGCACCGTGGCGGACCTTGTCGACGTTGTCAGCGATTTCCTTTGCAACAAAGCCGAAATGCGCGGCTACCAGAAGGTCACGAAGGCCTTGTCGACCCCGCTGGGTGAGAGCACTGGCGAGATGAGCATGTCTCCGCGCCTCAAGACGTCGCCAACCTTGTCACTGGAAGCGGAGGTGTGCAGCAGGTATACCCCGCTGTTCGTCGATTTCGTGGGGGCCACGCACCTTCCCCGAGTACGCTGGCAGCGTAAAGTCTCGGGCGACCCGGGGGAGTCTCTTCCGGCGGCGTACTGCACGCTGGGGGTCGAGGGGTCCGACCATGTGCTCCTCTGTACGGGTGTCGCAGCGCCGGGCTCCAATCCGGAGTGGAAGGAGGGGCTGGAGCTGAAGCAGTACCCTCAAGGCCAGACGCTCGTGTTCAGCGTCTGGCACAACGAACCCGAGTCTCGGGATCACTTCTTGGGCCAGGCGCTGCTGCCTTACTCGTCTTTCGAGATGCAGGGTTTCGCGGGGGAAGTCACCCTCAACGTCAACGCGGGCTTCGAGTCAGAACATCGAGCTGCGCCTTCGGGTTCCCTTACAGTGCGGGTGTCGCTGACCGTCCCGAGGAGGATCATCCGCAAGTTTTCACGCAAGCGCTCAGGCGGCGCAGTCAGGCAAGGCACAGGCAGTTTCAGCATGCGGGATCTGCATCCATCACCAAAGAGTTTGGACAGCAACGCGGAGTCTTCGCAGTCTTCGCAGTCCATCGTTGACAGGTTCGCGAGCTCTGGGGTCAGAACTCTCGCAGACCAGATGCTGATCATCACCGAGGCGCACCGGAAGCTGGAACGCCTGATGATGGACCTCTTGGCGGATGCGAAGGACGCGGCGGAGAAGCAAGGGATTTTTGATGCGGCCCAGATCGACCAGTCGCTGCACCGCAACCCATTCTGGGATTTGGTCGAGGCTAACACTTTCAGAATCTTAGAGCGGCGGCTATGGGATCAGAGACACAATGATCATGGCGACCTCGCGAAGGCGGACAGGGCGGACATGGCCGATGAGTTGGACGAGGACAGTGGCGATCCGGAGAGTCGACATGAAGAGTTCCAAATCCAGAATCCAGAATTCTAATCCAGAACTCTGGATTCCGGATTCCGGCTTCTGATTCCGTGTTCGATTTTCGAGTCCTCAGTTCTAGTTGTTGTATTAACTACATGCACGATTTCCTGATTCCATATTCCAGCTTTTCAGGTGTGGACTTTCGAGTCCAGCATTCCCGATTTTGGATTTTGGAATTGGATTCTGGATTCGACCTTCGAGTCCTGAGTTCCAGACTCTGGGTTCCATATTCTGGGTTCTGGATTCCGGATCCAGGTTTTGGATTCGAGTTTAGTGGGTTTCGATTTTCTGATTGGATCTTCGAGTTTAGAGTTTTTGGTTCAGGATTCAGGATTTCCAGATTCGACCTTCGAGTCCCGAATTCCAGACTCCGGATTGCGGGTCCAGAGATTCCAGATCCAGGTTCAGGATTCGAGCTTGAGTTTTGGCTTCTGGATTCTAGATTCCGGATTTGGTTTCGGTTTACGGATTGGGTCCAGAGTTCTGGGTTCCGGACTCTGGATTCCGCAGCGTCTTGAATTCGGGACTCGGATTTCATGTTCGTTTTTGAGTCCAGAATTCCAAGTCTATGATTTCAGAATCGCATTCCGTATTCGTCTCTACAGAGTCATCCAGCGTCAATAAATCAAAGTGGACTCTCATTTAAAAGTGTCTTGCGTTTTGTTGGGAGCTCTTTCTGGTCGATGGGCTCCGTCACGACCCGCTCCGTTAGCTTCACGATCTTTGAGATGGCGATGATGTGTTTCTTGACATCCTACACCACGGTGCCCACGCACTTTGTCTTGCTGCGGTCGTTCTTCTCTGGAGGGCCCTCGCCGAAGTCAGCATCTTCTGGTGGCGCCGAAGCAACAGCTACGTATCAGCTGCGAAGTTAGCCATACGCCGCTGCAACTTTGCGAGCTCACCTTGGGCTTCCTGTTTGACCCCAGTTGAAGTCCCCGAGCCTGAAGGTTCGCCATCGCCGTCAAACATTGTCGAAAGCACGCTTCTCGGTTTCAGCCCCCTCCGCGGAAGCGCTGGTTAGGATCTTGTGGATCTTGTCCTCTGTCATCGTTTCGATGTCTTCGGGGACCTTGTACTCCCTCAGGTCGTCAGTATTCTTGTTCCTCTGCTCCCTCCCTATCTACACCAGCTTCTGTGTCTTTTCTTGCCTGACGTGAACTCCTTGGACAGCGTCGTCTGCTTCGCGGCGTTCTTCACGCGTTGGCGGTGCACGAGGGAGGTTTCGAGGTACTGCTGTCTCGCCTTCCCCTGGCTGCCAGTGCATCGGGATTGTGCCTATTCAACTGGAGCAATTGCCTAAATGACGCCGTTTTGCTTTTCTTCTCTTTCTCGTCGGCTTTATGCAGCAGCGCTCTAGCCTCAGCGAGCTCCTCCATGGTTGTACCAACATTGCCCAAATTTGTACTTGGGATTTTGGTGGGCATCCCGCCGACGCCAAGAAGCAAGCAACGCACGACCACTGTGCCCGACTTGAGCCTAAACGCGGGGGAGGAGAGATGATGAGGAGGGTGAGGTTGTTATGGATTTATATGTCGGCTCAACCTGAGCCAGAGATGGGGAATCAACAACAAAAACGTGCGTTCTGTTTTTTTGCATCAGCGGATCCGCTGATGCCGAAAAGAATACCCGAGTGTTTCTTTCAGGCCCAGTTTACCAAAAATGGCTGTGCCCCCGTCGCGGGGTGGGAAGAGGATGCAGGATGTGCTCCAGCTGTGTAATGCCGCAACGCGGAAAGCTCCTGGGCCCTGATAGACGGACAGTGAATATCTGTGGAGGTTTCCAGCGGATCCGGCAGTCTTGAACATCAACAAGTCCAACATCAGACATGTGTTTTGATTGGTGATGCATTTTTTTATGTTCGATTTAATGTTTGACCGGTGTTTTACATGTCCAAAACTGAGTCGAGCATCAAGAATGAATACGACATCAAAAATGCCATTTTTGATTTTTGAGGTGGGACCTGCAAGAAAAGGGGCAGTTTGGGGCGGACGCCAGCGCAGCTCCGGACCTCAGGGGCTGCAAGCGGCCAGAGGTGAGAGCTCGGGCCAAAAACCTCTGGAAGCTCGCTCTGGCATTGGAGCACCGTTGCGAGGGAGGGTACCCTCGCTCCTCTTGGGCACGAGCTCCTCCACCTCCTCCTCTCCTCACCCTCACCCCTTCTCATCCACCCTCCTCCTCCTCGACCTCTCCCTCCTCTTCCCCCCCACCCACACGCCCCGCTCCCCAGATCCACTGAGAACGACGGAAACACTAACGCGCTAGGCGGAGACAAGAACATCACAGCATACGTGAACATCAGCACACATCGCCCACACAAAGGCTCCAAGTATAACAAGACAAAGCAATGCAAACCTCTGACGTTCGCTTTTCTGTGCCTCCCGTGAAGCTTGTCTCAATCTAAGCCAACGGGCAGTGGACCGACAAGCGACATGCCGCCCTGCTGGCAAGGAACAATGCTACATCGGACCGAAAAATGACAGGCCGCCCTGTGGATTGGACAGTGCTACGCTTCCTCTCCTCCTCCTCGTCCTCCTCCTCGTTCTTACGATCGCCTCGGTCAGCCTCTCCGCCCTCGCCGCCTCGCGCGCGCATGGACGGCTCGCGGACGAGCTCGCAGCGTTTTGCGCAGCCCCGGCATCCTGGCGGGTCATGCGCGTTTTACTAGAGACAAAGACTTGTGTTTTGCTGTAGCTCCTCCTCCTCCTTCTCCACGCTAGAACTCCCGCGCCCCCTTGAATCCGGTATACCCCGTTTACGTCCCGTACCCCTTTGAGTTCCCGTGCCGTTTCGAATTCACGGGCCCCCTTGAATTCCCATGCTTCCCGTACCCCCTATGAATCCCCCACAGGAGACGGTTGAAATTGGCGTGTTGATTGCAATCACTTTCCAGGACGTAGCTCAAACTTGCGTAGCTTACGGCGCAGCGCTCGGTCCTTCAGTGCGCTTCTTCTTGATACCCCCCGCCCTCATGCTCGTCGCCGATAGGGTTCAAGATCTGGCGAACGACGTTCTGCAAGTTCTGCCGCTTGCCATTGTCCTCCATTGCACTGATCCGCCCTGCAGCCCCGTAGATCAATTGGTGGACCTTGTCGATCACGTCTTCCAGGGACTTAAGGTTAGGCAGACACTCGACCCAAGCAGCTGCCATGATCTTGAGGTCCTCGAGCGATTTGATTCCATCACCGTAGAACTCCTTGTTCGAGAGGGGGCGCTGTGGTGAATTGCCGTTATCATCGGGTCCGACTACCACGGCGGAGCTAGGCGCCTACACACCGCGAGTTTGGGCTGGGACGAAGTTGCCCCTGAACGGCACGCCGCAGAGGTCGCACTGGGATTCCCAAGTCCGTGGATCAGGAGGGAAAAAACCACACAGACACAATTAATCGGCGATTCCCAGAAAATATGGGAAAATATGGGGAGTGGGGGGGAAGACGATAACCCAGAAAAATATGGGAAAATGTGGGGGATAATTTTAATTGTGTGTATTTATTTGTGTGTCCCAGTTCCCCTTCAGTGGACGTGGTGAGGGCGGCGCACCTCGGGCGACGTGTACTTCTGGACTCTGGCATGCCTCATCGGCTTCGTCTGGCTTCCGTCGGAACGTATGTCCTTGGAAAGCCCTGAAACGCCGGTCGTCACCCATGCTTTGTCGCTGGAAGCTGCTGTGTCGCTGGAAACCGTAGTCGGTTGTCAGTGCCACGCAGTGTCGAGGCAGCTTCGAGCCAACACGGCAGCGGCCGATTTGTTTGTCTCGAGAGGACTTGGTTCCCGCCTCCAACTTATTCTTTCCAGTGGCTTCGTGTGTGTGTGTGAGACACGTTATGTGCACTGTAGCTGGTTTGTGGCCGTTTGTGACTGTGGCGGTTTGCAGTTGTTTGCGCTTGTTGTAGTTTTTGTTGTTTGTGGCTGCTCGCGTTGTTATGTTCTTGGTGTAGCTGGTGATGGCGTTGATGATGGTAATTGGGTTGATGATCCATGATGTCAGGACGACTCGTGTAAGTTGTGATGTGATTGTTGATTGCGGTGATGGTGTCGATGTGTCGGTTACGTGGTCGATGATTCAGTGAGAGTTGTCGCTTGATGATGCTGTTGGCATGGCCTGCCTTTGTTCTCGTTGCACCTGCTGTCACCCTCTGTATTGGCTGAATGCGGGGCGGGGGGGGGGGCGGAGGAGGCGCGCGCAGCAGGCGTCCACCACGGAGCCTTCCTACGGAAGACGCGCGCGAAACAGCCTGCCTCGCGGCCGCGGCGCGCGGGCCCCCCCCGAGCAGCGCTTCCCTCCCTTCTCTCTCCCCCCTCCTCCATCCATTTATTCTCCTTCCTCCTGCTCCGCGTGATGCCTTCACGAGCGCCAGCCTACACTCCACGTCCTCCGTCCTCCTCCCCAACCCTCTTCGTAGAAGTAAGCCCCCCCCCAATGATCCATCGGGGCCACGAAGAGGATGAGGGACGGCGAGGGTAGATGGGGAGGGGGCAAGGATGACGAACAACATGGCAGATGCAGGAAGGACAAGGGAGGCTCGAGAAAGGAGATGGGAGATTGAGGAGGGAAGGGTGGAGTGAGTGGGGGGAGGGGAGGATGGATGATGCAGGGAGGGGGAGGGAGGACGGGGGAGGTGCCCTGGAAGGGAGGGGAGGGGATGGTGGAATGGAGGGGAGGGCACGGAGGAATGGGCAGGAGGAGGGTGCCGACACTCTCGTCGGACGATTTGCTTGGGATGGGCTAGAAAAGGACGAGGGTCCAGGATTCATGATTTTGAGGACTTTGCTTTCTGCTGGCGCGCCCGAGCCACTCTGGATGGAAGGAGTGGCGGTATACCCTCTCGCGGCACGGGTGATACACGCTGGACCCAAATGCCCATTCTCTCGAATCGCTTCTCCTCCTCCTTCTCAGTTCGATGCCCCGCCGAGCGAGCCTTCTGCCTGGACATCTCATCGTCGTTGTTCAGCTTCCTGCACCCTGTGAGCTCGCCATCGCCCCCGAACGGTCGATGGCTTTCCCTCGATGCCGACGTAGCCCAGCCACGGGAACTCGTCTTGACCAGCTGCAGCTCCATCGGGAATCTCCTCCTCGTTTGCAGGGGCAGCCGCTGGCCTCTTGATACCCTGGGATGTTTCAGTATTCGGAACGCCCCCCACACGCTGAGACGCGACTGAGCTACATACATTGAACTAGTACTGCCATGAAAACATGGATTCGGTATGGCATGGCAGCGACGAGGATGCTAGAAGTATCTCGGCACATCGGGCCTAGAGCCTCGAGCTGATTGCACCATTTCTAAGTCTCCTGGGTATCACCGCGAACGTACCTACGCGAGTAGCAACACTTGTATGCCTCTGGATCAACACAGTCTAAAACTTCCAGGTCTTCGAAGGTGGTTTGGACCATGTGGCCCACGTCGCTCAGACGTCCTTCGAGTCTCGAATGTGGAGCGTGCACCGGATACGAAACGACGGAGACTCCTCCTTGACAGCCGTTCTGTTCTCCTCGGGAGCTGCTTTCGCAGCAGCGGCCTTCGCTTTCGCTGTGGCCCTGCCAGGAGGGGTTAGCGTCTCGTAGTCCTTGGGCATCAACGGTTTGCCTGCAGCTGGCGTGGCGAGAGCTGCAGCAGCTGCAACTTGCCCTGGGCTCAGCAACGCTCGTAGGTGGAGTTCGCGCTGCCGCGGTCGCGGGCGAGGCGGCTGCTCCCTCTGCGCCCGGCGGGGCCTCCACTCGCGCCACGGCTGCTTTGGCAGGGCTTTCTAAGAGCTCCAACTCCTGCTCATCAGTGCCGATGTCATCGGACTCCCTGGCGTCGGACACTACCACTACGCGGGAACACACAGGTGGCGCAGGCCGCACTTCTACCGAAGAGTTGCTCCCCTCATCGCTGCTCTCGTGGCTTCCCTTCTGGCTGACGGGGCGTTCGGGCTTCTCGATGGCGAGCTTGTTGCTGGGAGCCTCTAAACATTGATACTTGCGCCGGATGTTGCAAATATCATATCGACTGGCGGCCCAACTGCTGCTGAGCATTGTTCTTAGATTTAGGACGCTGCTCTAAGAGTCAACGCTGCCCCAATCCATATCGTGGTGCGCCAGCCATCGCACGAAGGCGCCATGCATACTCTTCCGTTTCACCAATCGCCCATTCGATTTCACGACCTCTCCATTGCACCTCAGTCTGACGTGCAATTCATGTTTGCGGATTGTTTTCAACTTGAGCAGCTCTGTGGGTTCGCAGTTTGGAAGTGGTACGTACGACTCTGCGAAAAGATACCTATTCATCGCTTGACAGGTCAAATGAAGGCAGTTTTGTTATTGTCGCCATGCTGTCTTCAGCTCAGAATGGCTAGGCAAAGCAGCACGCGCCAGCACGGAAACAAGAGCCGCGAGGAAGTCAGAAGCGAGTGGAGGAGAGGAGAGAGGTCGGAAAGGTACGGGGTAAGGGAACGGACGAGGTGGCATGGGCGGGGGGAAATATTAATGATGGGGGCGCAGGGAAGAGGAACAGGTGGAGATGGATAAATTTAGGAGGCGTGCCAATACCTTCAACATGCGGTCTATAAATTGATCTGTACATTTACATGCTCACAATTTGTTGTTCTAGTTTTGACACTTACTTCAAAAACTATGTTTGGAACCCGCGTCCAAATCACTAACCATGTTTATAGCAAACAACTATGTGTTCTTCTCAGTCCCACATGCTCAGGGCTCGCTGATTCCAGACCCCGGATTCCGGATTCCGGGTTCTGAGCTTGGATTGAGCATCTTACGCCAGACTCTCTGGATGTCCTCTCGACGAGGAGCTGCAGGCTACAGGGGCAGACCCCTTCTTAGTTGATCACTTCGGGGAGTCGCTGACCAGGTCCCTGGCCCATACGCGAGTCATGTGCGATAGCTTTTGGATCATGCACCTGATGATGTTGAGGCTTGAAAGTTCTAAACGCCTGACGGTATTGTCGCGTCACAGCAACACGAAGTCGCGGGGGAAGGCGCCCGAAGTGGTGTACACCGTCCGACTGAAGGGCAAGAGCATGCGTGGAATGGCCGCACAGCCCGACGACAATCACGACGTGGATCAGCGCGTGACACCGTGGCTCAAAGGTGGCGAGGAGAGCACCCTTCTGGAGGTCATCCTTGTCCACAAGAAGATTGCGCTGGTCGGTCAAGAGAACCGTAGCGTGGGCAAGCAGATCATCAAGGAGATGCAGACCATCGGCTCCATATGTCGCACCCTCCGCCTGGGCGACCCAGACCTGCACCCGTCCATGTGGTGCATCTCGCTGCGGCAGCTGCAGGACTTCGCCCGGGAGGTGGAGGCGGAGCTGGGCACGGAGGTCTACAGAGCCGCTTCGCTGGCCGAAATTGTGAAGAAGGCCATCATCCACAAGACTTCCGCGGCTCGCACGTCGTACGCCCGCATGGTCAACTGGCAGAGCCTCAGACAGATAGACGTGTTCGTGTCGCACTGCTGGGGGGAGAACTTCAGCGTTTTCGTAGACTCGGTCGTGGCAGCCCTGGAGACGCGCATCCACGCCCACGACGTGAACTTGTGGATATGCTGCTTCGCGCTGTTTCAGAACCCCCACTACGAGGTGGTGAAGAAGCAGGTGGGGACCGACCTCATGGACGCCCCCTTCGAGAAGGCTCTCCGCTTCGCCCGCGAGTTCCTCGTGGTTCGGAATGCGGAGTGCGACATGTACACCCGCGCGTGGTGCGTGTTCGAGATCTTCCGGGCGCGCCAGCTGGGTCTGAAGATCACGGTGACAGGCCCAGACAAGTTCACCAACGAGAATGTGGACATTTTGAGTTGCAGGGCCACCGACGCGGACGACGAGGACTTGATCAAGGGCGCCATAGTGGATGCGAACGAGGTGGACGAGCTGAACCAGGTCGTCTCGGAGATCAAGGCCATGGGTGGGCTGGAGCCCGCCAGCAGCAACTCCCCCGTGTTCAGGATATGACCGTCGCGTGGCGATCGAGCCGTGGGGGGGCACGGCCCCGAGCTCCTCCCGCTTGCTGGAGCCGTCAGGACGCAGATGTTGTGGCAGATCAGATCTTCTCAGTGTTGTGTGGCGGGGCTCGCGCACAGTCGCGCAGCACCCGCATGGACTACTGTCGCCAGTCAGCGAGATCAGGAGTGCTAACACATTCGGCGCGACTACCACATTGGGCACCAGCGGTGAAGGCAGTCAAAGTGTTCATGGACCTGTCGCCATCGCCATGGTGTCGTTGTGGTGGGGTGACTCATACTCGCGTTTCTTTCTTCACACGTTGCTTATACTCCCATGTGTGGAGGCGACGTGTTTATGCTCAATTCTAGACGCTTCGCGTATCCCCACCAGCCCGTCCAGAAACGACGCCCAGGCGAGTAGAGGGTCGTCCTGAGGGGCTTTTCGGCGTCTTGGGTGCCTCGGGGGGGCCTCTGTGGGCCGTTCGGGATCCTCTTTGGGGCCTCCTGGGGGCCTCTTGGGGCCTCTTGGGGCCATCTTGGGGCCTCTGGGAGCACCTTGGGTGCCCCTGGGGGGTCTCTTGGGGCCTCTTGGGGGTCTCTTGGGGGCCTCCTGGGGGCCTCTTGGGGGGCCCTTGGGGTCATCTTGGGGCCATCCTGCGGCCTCTTGGGGCATCCTGGGGGCCTCTTGCGGCCATCGTGGAGGAAATCGATCAAAGAAGAGGGGTTCCTTAATTAGAGTCCCCCCCCAGGAGCCACGATCCTCGTGAGGGGTGTCGAATTTTAGCCTTCCCAGGGGTCGATCTTGGGCGCTCCAGCGCGCCGCGGAACCCCCTGTCCAGGTCAGTGGGGAGGGGGTAGGGGGAGGGGTAAACCCCTCCCCGAAGGGGAAGAAGGAGGGGTGGAAGAGGAAACGCTCTAAACCACCGACGCCCAGAGGGCTGGTGGGATTCGCGTTCCACCACACGTGTGTTCGCTCACTGTGTGAGAATGTGTGTGTGTGTGTGAGTGAGTGTGTGCGTGTGTGTGTGTGTTTGTGCGCAGATGCATGCGCGCAAGCATGGACATGGCTGCGCGCCTTCTGATTCGTGTTGTTATTAATGTAAGTCGGGGGAGGAGAATCGGTGTCGGTACTCCCCCGAACTAACTCATGGCGTGTGCAACGTAACTTTCCCTTAATGTGCTCTCTGGCTGCTCTGTGACCACCTGCAAAGCCCACTCAGGTGTGCTATCTGATGGTTTCCCCTCTCCCGCGTGGATCGTAGAATGTGTGTACTGTGTGTTTGTGTGCTCTCTGTCTTTGCTCCCCTCTCCCACTGCAGGCCTTGAAAAGCCCTGGCTGTGCTGTGTGTGTGCGTGTGGCAGGGAGCCTGCGGCACACAGGTGCCATTGGCCCGCTTGGCCTGCAAGGGTGTCGCGCCCAGCTGCAATCTGTCTGGTGCGCCTTTCCTGCCCTCCTGGGTCCGGAGACCCTCTGACCCCTCCCCCATCCCCTCAGCGAAAGCCCCCTGAGCGCCGCCAAGCTACGGTGGGGGCGCTCGCTATGCAATGTCCCCAGGAGGTTTCAGACCCTTCATGATTCCTTGTCTGATGAGGGCGGCGGTGATATCCGTGGCCACGCCACAAATAGCGTTCCACCAGCTTCCATACCAAGATTCCTTATCCATGTCCTTACCGTAGCTCCCCAATGGAAGTTCTAGAGCGCCAGGGGTCCCAGCCCTTGGATCCCTACGGGCTCGGAGCTCTTCCAGGCTTCCAGTGATATGTTCTTGGCCCCCGTCGTCAAACACCTCCCTGACTCCCCCCCTTGTCTCCTCGACGGACCGCTGACTCATGGCCTTTCGATGTTCTGGATGTGCTATCTGTGCGTCGTAGAGCAGAGCGGGCGCCACAGAGCGGAACGAGGCTCCGAGAGGGCTCAATAGGGTCTGAAGCAAGTTCCGCGAAGCCATGGATGGTGATCGTTTTTTCATTCATTGTTTTGCCGATCGGCGCGGGCCCTCGCACCCTGCCCCCCCCTTGGATTAGATCTTGGTTGTTTTTAGAGCATGTTTCGAGCAGGTGGAGTCTCTCCCACAGGGCGCACTGCTGCAAACAGTCGCACTGAGCAGAGGTCCGTGGCCAGGCCCGCCCCCCTCCCTCTCCCTCATGGTCAAATGCCGAAGCGCCGAATAAGAAAACGCCCACGTGTGCTGCAGGAGGGCCCCGGGAGGGCCACATGACAGCAGCTGCAAGAGATGGCCCGGACAGTGCGCCGAGAAGGCCTGCTGCCGGCGCCGGCCCTGTTCCGACCGTCTGATGCTTCCCATGTCGTCGTTCTCGTGGCCGTCCACCAACGTGATATGTGATTGTCTTCTCGTTCATTGTTCTGCCGATCGGCGCGGGCCGTCGCATCACTCCCCTCCCCTCCCCCATGGAGTAGATCTTGGCTGTTTTTGGCTCCTGTTCTCTCCCCCTAGGATGCACCGACCCTCCCCCTCCCCCCCCTTCGGCCCAATTTCGAAACGCCGAATAAGAAAACGCTCACATGTGCTGCAGGAGCGTCCCAGGAGGGCCACATGACAGCAGTTGCAAGAGATGGCCCAGACAGTGCGCCGAGAAGGCTGTAGCTGCTGCCGGCGCCGGCGCTGTTCCGACCGTCTGATGTTTCCTATGTCGTCATTATTGTGGCCGTCCACCATCGTGATATCTGGAGTTTCTTCGGCAGCAAATCATGGGGGCCTCGCGACTTAGCGTCGGTTAGCGTCGATTTAGCGTCGACTAGCGTCGATGAGTATCGATGTAGCGTCGATGAGCGTCGATTCGCAAGAGCCGACAAGATGGTATGGGAGGCTCCCATGAGTTGACACCGAAAGTTTCGGATCCTGTGTTTTTAGCAGAGCGCGTGCTATCTCAGATCCCTCAAGTTGTGTGCTCAGAGATCCTTCGGGATAGTACGGTCAACCCGCATAGTAAGGATGGGCAACCTCCTCAAGGGCACCCTTGCATCCTTGCCTCCCCGGTCCATCCTTCGCCACTTTCGTTGGCCGCGCCCCGCTCGAAAGGCTTCGAGATGGCCTTCCAAGGCCCTTGCATCCTCACCGCGCATCCTCATGGTACGGGCCGACTGCAAGTTGTGCGCCCAAATGTCGGTCGGGATGATGGTATGCCCTGGTTCCCCTGGGGTGTCTGGCAGCTCAGGTGTGCAGGCTGCACCATCGGCGCAGTGCCCACGGCTGGCCGCTGGGCCTGGGCCGGAGGAGGCCACTCAGGAGGGGAAAAACACACAGACACAATTAATCCTCGAGTCCCCAGAAAATATGGGAAAATATGGGAAGTGAGGGGGAAGTCAAAAATCCCCCAAAAATTAAAAAAATATGGGGGATCCTTTTATTTGTGTGTATTTACTTGTGTGTCTCAGGGCCCCTTCAGCCACGCGGTGCCCGGCGGAGCGGCGCGGCGCACACTGCGGTGGGGCCAAGTGCCGGGGGCGGCCTAAGCGACCCCTGGCAATCCATCCCCTGCCGTGACGTCCTCCTCGCCTCGCCCCAGGACGTTCGGGGGTGGACAGACCTCCTACCTTGACACGTCGATTAAGGAATTGGCCGTTTTCGGTTCGTGAGAGGGCGTCGCGGCCGTCATTTTCGCGGGTCCAGGTCCGTCGGTTTCGGTCCCAGGCGCTTTTCACTAAGGGGAGGTCTACTAAAGGGAGGTTTGTCCACCGCCGAGACGTGAGCGTGTGTGTGTGTGTGTGTGTGTGTGTGGCAGGGGGGGAGCTCGAAAGGCGAGTTTTGGCGTCACGGAAGGGGGAGGGTCAGCTAGGGGTCGGTCAGGCCGCGCCCGACAGCGCCGTGGCTGGGGCAAGCTGCAGGGGCTCGGACAGGCAGTCGAAGGGGCTAGTTAGTGGTGGGGGTCGGCAGTCGTGGGTGCCGAATGGCTGAGTGCTGGTGTTCTTCCAGCTTTCCTCCCTGTCTTTCCTATGCTCCTCTTGATGTGATACAGGGAAGGCCCATGCCAAGCAACACCCTGCTTGCCTCCAGGGTGCCCTGGGTTTCTTAGGTTTCGAGGGTTTTGCGATGGAGCGTTTCCATACCAAAAATCAGAGGACGACCTGGGGTCTCAGGGTTGGGTTTATTGTGGAAGGTTATTTTTGTGGTCGGGCCTCCGCTGTACGTTTGGTATGACTTCTTCTTCCTGTGGCTGCATACCACGCAGGGGGCGCGCTGTTTTTGCCTCCGTTTGCGACGTCGAGGTGCGTGTCACGTCTTTTTCGGCGGCGCGCGGAACGGGGTAGGGCGAGGCCTGCGGTCTTCTGAGAGCGCACCCTGTCTCTTAGAAGCCCTCCTATCCTTCTGTGGAGCCACCTGAGCGTTCTCCAAGATGGACAGGTCCCTTCTGAGAAGTCCCTCGGTCAAGGCCGCTCTCTCGCCTTCCCCCCTTTGCGCGCCGCTGGCTATTGTCCTGGGAGTTTCTAGGGCGCGCGCTTTGACTTCTAGCGCCTGTCTCGCAGGGCGGTGCCTGCCAGAATTCGGCAGTCGGCTCTGCCTTTGGCCCCTGTGGGGTGGCCTTCTAGCGTGCACCGCGCGTCCTTTCCAGCTACAGTGGTCCACGTCTTCCTCCTCTTCATCCTTCGCTACCTCCTCCGTTCCCTCTTCTTTCTGCGTGCCTCCTCCTCGTCGCGCCACGAGACGCGTCGGTAGGGCGGACGGTGCGTTTCGCTTGCGAGTCTCTCCCCCATTCATGGCCCCGCAGCTGGAGGCCTCCGACACCCGCGCGGACGGAGGGCTGCTGGTCCTCAAAAGGCGGTCATCCTTTTAGCGCCGTGCACAGTCGCCGTAACATTTTCAAGTGTTTGGGTCATGCACATCAACTTCAACTTCAGCTTATCACTTTCGCCGTAACAACTTGAACTTCAACTTCAACTTCAACTTATCACTTTCAGCGCCGTGCACAGTCATCGGGTCTATCGCTTGGAATTTCTTCGAACTGCTTTGTCCGGCGTGTAGTATCACGTGCAGCAGGTTCACAGCTGCA